CCATAAAACTTTTGTTCCTATAAGCATCAATTAGCATCACACTAACTTTGAGTTAGCAATAATTATTACATTGTAAATGTTTTATATCAACCATTTTTTATAGTTTTTCCATATTGTTTCCTTTTAAAGAAAACTGTTTATGCTAAATATGTTTCTATTTTGCAGTAATAAGAAAGCTGTATACATGGTTTTGCTTGAGTAAAAGCCAAATTCTCAGTGAATTCTTCCTCCTTGAGGTTATTTTTTAAATTTGGTCTTCAAATAGTTTAATTATGGTTGTTTGGATCTTGGCAAGCAAAAGAGCAGAAGACCATTATCTTTGAGTTTAACAAGCTTACTATAATAGATTTTTCTGGTCTTTCAGATGCACCCACTACTACCATTTCAATAAAAACAGGAAAACCTTAGTTTTTAATACGCACTTCTTCTAAATTTGATTGAAACTTTGAATAAGCATTATTATTTTTATCATAATAGATCATCAAAATGGGCTTCTAATATTTTAAACAAGTATTTATAATTTTTTTTTTTCCTGGCTCAAGACTCTTTCTAAAAGGAATTATTTAATTAAGCTGCACTTGTTAATCATATTAATACAGGTGTTTTGGCTGTAAAGTGGCTATACTGTTTTCTGACTTTTTGTTGTTGTTGCTTAGGTGTTATATGAACTTCCCACCAACACACAGTGGTGCTTTGATATTCAGTGGTGTCCCAGAAATCCTGCTGTCTTATCAGCTGCTTCCTTTGATGGGCGAATCAGCGTTTACTCTATCATGGGTGGGAGCGCAGATGGCTTAAGGCAGAAACAAGTTGACAAGGTAATAGAAAGCGTTAAGCTTTTAAATCGTAACAATTGAAAAATATCATCTTATCATGGTATTATTTTGAAAATGACTTTACTATCAATGCTATGGATTAATTGGATAATTGTGATAAAAATATTTCTTGAGTATGACTTGAAAACATGTAATATAATCTCATATAAATTATACTTGCATTATTTTTTTTAGCTCTCATCATCTTTTGGGAATCTTGATCCCTTTGGCACAGGACAGCCCCTTCCACCATTACAAATTCCTCAGCAAACTGCTCAGCATAGTATAGTGTTGCCTCTGAAGAAGCCACCCAAGTGGATCCGAAGGCCTGTTGGTGCTTCCTTTTCAGTAGGTGGATTTGTTTTTATGGTCCATAAGCACAAAGGACTTCTTTTAGTAAAGGGTTCTTATAGGATCACTCAGATGGAAGAAGATTGAGTGTGAAATATGTCTGTAGATTTTTCATTATTCAAAATGGTTTCTCAGGAAAAATAGGACCTACTTTGTTTTTTACTTTAAATTGTGGTAAAATATACATAACATAAAATTTACCATGTTAGCCATTTAGAAACATATAGTTCAATGGCATTAAGTACATTTACATCGTAGTACAACCATCACACTGTCCATCCCCTTATTAAACTTGCCTTCCTTCTCTCTCTCTCCTTCCTTCATAATTTTCTCTTCTTCATTTTCTTTTTTTTTTTTAATTTGGAGGAAAGTGTATCTGTGTGTCCTCCTTCCTTCTCTTTATTCCTTGCAACTTTTTTTTAATTGCCAATTTCTTTTTTTTTTATGGTAAAAATATGTAACGAAATTTACCATCGTAATCATGTTTAAGTGTAAATTACAGTATGTTAACTAAATACGTTTGTTGTACAACAGATCATCAGAACTTTTTTATCTTGTAAAACTTAAACTCTTTTACTATTGAACAGCAACTGCTCGTTTTCCCCTTCCCTAGCCCCTGGTAATCAAATTTTACTTTCTGTTTCTCTGAGTTTGACAACTATCAATACCTCATATAAATGGAATCATGCAATATTTGTCTTTTTGTGATTGATTTGTTTCACATAGCATAAGGTCCTCAAGGTGTTGCAGTGTCTGACAAGATTTCCTACTTTTAAAAGGCTGAGAAATAGTCCACATTTTCTTTATCCATTAATTTATCTGTGGACATTTAGTTTGCTTCCACCTCTTGCTATTATGAATAATGCTGCAATGAACATTCGTGTGCAAATATGTCTTTGAGATCCTATTTTCAATTCTTTTGGATATATACCCAGAAGTAGGATTGCTGGATCTTATGGTAATTCTATTTTTAATTTTTTAACGAGCCTCCCTACTGTTTCCCATAGTGGCTGTACCATTTTACATTCCCATCAACAGTGCACATGGGTTCTAATTTTTCCACATCCTCACTAACATGCTGTTTTTTAATTTTTTTAGATAATAGTCAACGGGTGGGAGATGATAATCTCATTGTGGTTTGATTTGCATTTTCCTAATGATTAGTGATGTGTGGAGCATCTTTTCATGTATCTGTTGGCCGTCTGTATGTCATCTTTGGAGAAATGTCTGTTCAAGTCCTTTGCTCATTTTTTAATCAGGTTGTTTTTGGGTTTTTTTTGTCACTGAGTTATAGGAGTTCTTTATGGATTCTAAATGTTAACTCTGAATGTTAACAGATAAATGATTTGTAAATATTTTCTCCCATTCTGTAGGTAGCTTTTTTTACTGTTGATTGTTTACTTTCTGAACAGAAGCCTCATTTGTCTATTTTTGCTTTTGTTGCCTGTGCTTTTGGTATTACATCTATATCATTGTCAAATTAATGACTTCAGCTTAGAAAAACTTCAGCTTAGAAAACTCTGGTAGATCAGAAAGAAGAAATAAAGTCCTTTCCTAAATATTCTTATTTCACTACTGCTTTTAAGTCTTGTATAGAACAGACCATTTGTCCAGTGTTGGGTTACTTTCTTCATACAACCTACAGGTAAAATAAAATTTCATTAGTAGTAATATTAATAGCTGAAGTGTATTTTTTTAATAGCTAAAGTATATTTATGTACTGTGTGCCAGACATTGTTCTAAGCATTTTGCATATAGTAACATTTAATTCTCAGAACTGCTTATAAAATAGCTATTACTATTACCTCTGTTTTGTAGATAAAGAGAAGCACAGAGAAATTAAAGAACTTGTCTAATCTTACAGATATAAAGATTTTAGCTCTTCTACTGTCAACCTAATCTGATGCCTCCTGTGCATAATGATGAGAGTGAGTCTGTTGGTGATAATGCCTAAAACTAAGATAGTAAACTTACATTATTTGAGGTGGCTGGCTGGCTCAGTCGGTAGAATATGAGACTCTTGATCTTGGGGTCATGAGTTCAAGTCCCACACTGCAGGTAGAGATTACTTAAAAAAATAAACATATTATTCAACTTCCCATCATTGTAACAGAATTTGTACACAACATAGAATTCTGTATATTCACTTTTACCAAAACTGAATGAATTATCTCTGCAGCTACTACTGAGTTCTTGATATCATTCTTCTATTAATCAGGCTTAGAACTTTTCCTTTGACCTCTTGTATTCATTCCTTAGGTCCAGATATTGCTCTCTTGATAAATCTCTTGGATTTAATTCTTCTTTTTACATTGTGGTTACTCTGCCTAATTTTTCATCTTTTCACACTGAGCTGTTATATGATTGCATGTCTATTGCTTATCTATTCCCCCTCCAATCTATACTACATACTCTAGATTAATCTTCCTAAAATAGACCTTTGATTATGTCACTCATAAATCCATTCTTTGGATTTAATTAGTGTCATCATTCCTGTTTAGTTTTCTCTACCATCTGTACTCCTGCCTTTGAATTTTTTCCTTTATGACTTTCCACTTTCTTTACTGAATCCCAACCATTCATCTAGTTAGTACCTTCCTTCCCTAAGTAATTGATAATTTATTATTTTAAAATTGTATATGTACAAGGTTTAAAAGAAAACCACCTGTTCAGAAAAGATCCCCCAAATATAAGCTTCTTGAGGACAGACTGTCTAGTTCCCAGGTATGTTTTTAGTGCCTAGAATGGTGCCTGACAAATAGAAAGCGTTCACTATATATTTATCTTTGGAATGAGAAGTGAACGTCTTCCTCCTCCCCATTCACCCTCCTCTACTTACTAGTATTGGAGTATTATAAAGACAATAAATAACACTCTTTTCTTCCCCATATGAGTTTAAAACCAAATAAGAGAGATGGAGAATCAAAATATCAGCTTTAGTGCTGCCATAAGCTCGATTGGAGGCTATAGTTTAGATGTGTTCAACCATAATGTACCTTTTAACAAACTAGAACATAGACTGTGAGAGCTGGGCTGTTTTGTTTGCTTCTATATTTTCAGTTTCTGATTTGATGACTTTTTTTTTTTTTAGCTTCACCCGTGCATTAGGCAGCCTTACTAACCTAGTTACAGGCAAGTCCAAGTACTGGAGGGCTTTCTTTAAAGATGCTGGCAGCTTATCTATATGCACTATTGCTTTATGAAGAAAGGTACAAAAAGAAGCCCTGAAGAGCTGATGTGAGCATGTTGCATTTCTTTCCTGAAGAACATCAGTCAGTTCTCTTCCAGGAGAGTGCGAAGGACAGAAGAGGCTGGAAGTGTTCTTCTTCTGCTAGTTCCTCTTACAGAATGCAAGAAAAATGCCCTCTCTGTGGACATGAGGGGTAGAATTCAGTGTCCCCCTCAAATATCTTTAGGTTGCCATTGAAGTTTTAGAAGTTAGGGTTATTTTTGTGATTATCTTTATAAGTGTAAATAATATACCTAAATGTCCATGTCTTGATATATCAACTTCATATGGTATTAATTAAAACTCTTCTGTGCAGTATTAAATTCGTACATTTACGCTTCCTTCCAATTTTTCCAATTTCTTATTTCTACCAATTTTGGTAAATTACAGTATTTTTATATTGTTAAGACTTTAAAAATATTTTTATTGTGTTCAATATCCATATTTGTTTTGGTTGATTTGAAAAAATGATGACTAACAGGCAGCACTTACCATTATTGCAATTAAGTGACATTATATTATTACATAGAACCAAGTAAATGGGTAAATCCTCTTGTGAAACCCAGTTTAGGTCTTGGTTTTGGAGGGTGCAGTTTCATCAACTCCCCTAAAATTTGGGGAAACCTAGCAGTTTTGCCTTTCTGTAAAGTTCCATATCCTGTGTGGTATTACCTGCACCACATTTAGAACCTACAAGTGCCTATTGTTTCAGTTGTATTTTCATGTTAAATTCCATAAAGATAGTGGTTTATGTTTTCTTGGTATTTCCTAGAGTGCATGACATAACAAAAACTTTGAACATAGTAAACATTTAAAAAGACAAGCTTATGGGGGCACCATGGGTGGCTCAGTCGGTTAAGGGCCCGACTTCAGCTCAGGTCATGACCTTGTGATTCATGAGTTCGAGCCCTGCATCAGGCTCTGTGCTGACAGCTCAGAGCCTGGAGCTTGCTTCGGATTCTGTGTCCCCCTATTATCTCTCTGCCTCTACCCCATTCTCACTCTGTCTCTCTCTCTCAAAAATATATAAACATTAAAAAAAATAAGTTTATGTAAAAACCATAATCCTTATACAAAAATTACTGAGTATGAAGGATGAAGTTTGGTTCTGTGCTTCCTTCCTTACCTATATTTATTTGTATAAATAAATCAGATATTAACTGTATATTTGCTATATACAAGGTATTGTAGGTACTGTAGGAGATACAAGACTCAGTAGATACAGAACCACAGAACCTTCCTTGGAAGTATAGGAGAGGCAGAACTTTGCATCTACCCTCCTAGGATTTTCACCTGGGCCTGAGAATTAAATTGACAAGACAAATTAACAGGAGAAAAGCATACAAATTTTTATGTATACCTGGGCCCTCATTGGGAAATGAAGATGCAAACAAATGGCAAAACCTAAGTGCTTATATACTAGGTTGAACAAAAAATGGCAGTTGTACCTAAAATATTTAAAGAGACTAAAGGGAGATAATTATCATTTAACAAGTCTCTTTGTATATATTTCTCTCAGCCTGACTCCCACCTCTGGTGATAAGAATGTTTCTTTCCCCCTGGAATAGACAGGGCAACTCTCACATGGGAGTTTCATCTCCTGCTTTTAGGAAGAAAAGAGGAAGTCAGAGGCACCTGGATGGCTCAGCCAGTTAAGCGTCCAACTCTTGATATCAGCTCAAGTCATGATCTTGTGGTTTGTGAGTTCCAACCCCCGAGTCAGGGTCCACGCTGACAGTGTAGAATCTGCTTGGGATCCTCTCTCTCTCTCTCTCTCTCTCTCTCTCTCTCTCTCTCTCTCCCTCTCCCTCTCCCTGTCTCTGTCCCTCTCTCTCTCCCCCCTCCCTCCATCTCTGTCTCTGTCTTTGTCTCTCTCTCTCTTTCTCTCTCTCTGTCCCTCCCCAGCTCATTCTCTTTTTCTCTCTCTCTCTCTCTCAAAATAAATAAATATTAAAAAAAAAAAAAAAGGCAGGTCAGGGTGCCTTTCTTTCCTGCTGTCTTTCAAGTAGTCTTTAGCTCCAAATAATCCTTATGCCAAATGGGATATTTTGGAGGGGCATATTCTGCCACCCTTTAAAACTTAGAGCCTAGGACAGAAGGTGAGGCAAATACATATAGCTAATAGTTGAGTCAAAAGAGGTCTATAGTGCTCGCTTGGGCAGCACATATGATAAAATTGGAACGATGCAGAGAAGATTAGCATGGCCCCTGTGCAAGGATGACACACAGATTCGTGAAGCTTCCACATTTTTGGAAGAAGAAAAAAAAAAGATCTATGATATATTGAGGACATCTGAGGTGGAAGAGGTGACATTTGCCCAGGCCTTGAAGAGAAGGAACATTGAGTATGTAGAAGTTGGTGTAAACAAGTAGGTGAGAAATTATGGGGCACAGTAAATAGTACATTTTATCTAGAAGGTAGTAGGTAATAAGAATAGTAATTGAAGATCAAGGTCAGACAGTGGAGTATGGGATACTGTATCAGCTAACTTTATCCAGAGTGATAGATTTTAAGACCATAGTTCTTTCCGTTAGCAGGTTTTACAGTAAGTGCAAGTTTTGGCCTTATCCTTGTGGTTGAGAGTGACTTTGTTCATTTGTTCTTTTCTAGTTTGGAGGCAAACTGGTTACCTTTGAGAATGTCAGAATGCAGTCTCAGCAGGGAGCTGAGCAGCAGCAGCAGCCACGCCCTGTGTTCATTAGTCAGGTTGTAACAGAAAAGGAATTCCTCAGCAGATCGGACCAACTTCAGCAGGTTGTGCAGTCACAAGGATTTGTCAGTTATTGTCAGAAAAAAATTGATGCTTCTCAGACTGAGTTTGAAAAAAACGTATGGTCCTTTTTGAAGGTAAAGTTGTCATTAAAACCATTTCATTATCTGCAAATTTAACTATTCCCATTATATTTGAAATATGTCTTAATAAAGAAATTATTACAAGATTGTGATTTCAGGAGCTTCTTGATGAAATTAAAGAAACATGAAGAGCACACAACCATATTTTTATGTCGAGAGTTCTTCCTTCTCTGCTTTGAAAGGCCTAATAATATGAAGTACTTCTTTTAATAAGTAAAAAATGACATAATAGTTATATTTAAGTGAGAGAGACATAACGTTCAGCAGATCTATTTTAAAATTAATAACATAGAGTTAGGTATAATAGAAACATAGAATAATTTCTATAGTAGATCCGGTTAAGGAAAATGGGAAAAGAGGGAAAAGCTACAGGGGAGAGAGGTTGGAGGCATTTCTCATTCCTTTTACTGCATTGCATTTAAGACAATAGAAAATAGAGTTTTTTGGTTGGTCATTTTGCCTCCAGTGGAATGTCTGTTTCTTAATACCGAATTTTCCAAAGAGATCTTGAATATAACAAGGTTAACTTCTAAAATTATAGAATTTCATATCTTGTAATTATGAATTTGGGGAGAGAGTTTTAGGACATTGAGTGTTCCCCATAGTGTTGGGTTCTGCATGCATATAACCATTGGACGTGACTTAGTTTGTACTTAACAAAAATTATAGTTTAAACTTTGGAGTGCCTGGCTGGTTCTGTCAGCAGAGCATTTGACTCTTGATCTTGGGGTCATGAGTTCAAGCCCCACAGTAGGCATAGGGTTTACTTAAAAAATAAAAGTAAGCTTTATTCAACAAGGATAATTAATTACTGGTATACTTGATATTTAAAAAATATTTTGGAGATTCTTTCAGTGAGTCTTCTATATAGTAGATATAGAAAACTTCTTTCAGCTTGGGTGGCAGTCGTTGTTGTCGTCCCATCTTCAGCCAGTAGGTCACCATCTCATGTCCCAGTGAGTTTGGAGCCCCTGTCAGGCTCTGGGTTGAGGTTTTGGGAGCCCGGGAGCCTGCTCTTCCCATTCTGTACCTCCCCCCTCTGCCCCTCCCCCTGTTCATGCTCTGTCTCTCTCTGTCCCAAAAATAAATAAACGTTGAAAAAAAAAAAAATAAAAAAAAAAAAGAAAACTTTTCTTGATACAGTAGACTTTATTTTTGATGATTTTTAATAATTCTACTTGGGGGGCGCCTGGGTGGCGCAGTCGGTTAAGCGTCCGACTTCAGCCAGGTCACGATCTCGCGGTCCGTGAGTTCGAGCCCCGCGTCGGGCTCTGGGCTGATGGCTCAGAGCCTGGAGCCTGTTTCCGATTATGTGTCTCCCTCTCTCTCTGCCCCTCGCCCGTTCATGCTCTGTCTCTCTCTGTCCCAAAAATAAATAAACGTTGAAAAAAAAAAAATTTAAAAAAAAAAATAATTCTACTTGGAATTTGATCAGTTAATTGAAAATTTAAATGCAGGTCTTTATTTCAAGACTATGTCTTTTTAAAGGTAAACTTTGAGGATGATTCTCGGGGAAAATACCTGGAACTTCTAGGATACAGAAAAGAAGACCTAGGAAAGAAGGTAAATTTCTGGGAAAGGTTAAAAGGCTGTGCTTATAAAAGTAAATATTTATGTAGCATAGGTGTTCTGTTTTATAAACTTCTACACAGATAACCTCAAATCATTCAATATATATTTAATAAGAATTTGTGTTTGGTTGCCAAAGTTCTAAATACATATTATTAAATGTGTAACTTTACCTTGTACCTGGATTTAAAAGCTGCCAGAACCATCTATAATTCAAACTTGATTTAATGAGCTGTGTTGTATCGGGTAGAATTGGGCCTTGGAAGATAAGAGGCTCTGAACTTCAAACACTGGAAGTAACACGTAGATTTTAAGAGGGTATGTAACCAGTGGCCTTGGAGGAAGAGAAAAAGGGGAAACTGTTAGAGATCACCCCATGTTCACTACAGCTTAAGTAATAAAGAATAGAGTACTGTTTGAAGTTACCACAATTTTCTACCCTCACTGTTTATGCCTTAGCCCACGTTCCCAAACTTTGTATTGAGTTGGTCCAGCTGACAAGTAAGTAGTAAATATTTTGGAACAAGGACAATTTATTGTACTGAACCTGAATAAACAAAAGTCTGATTGATTAGCTTAATATTCAGCTTAATAATAATTGCTTAATAAAAAGATTCCCTTTTAAAAAGAGAAAGTCCTGGGGCACCTGGCTGGCTCAGTCAATTAAACATCTGACTTCAGCTCAGGTCATGATCTCGCGAGTTCATGAGTTTGAGCCCCGCATCGGGCCCTGTGCTGACAGTGCAAAGCTGCTTTGGATCCTCTCTCTCCCTCTCTCTCTCTCTCTCTCTCTCTCTCTCTCCCTCCCTCCCTCCCTCTCTCTCTCTTAAAAATAAAACATTAAAAAAATAAATGAAAATAAAATAAATAAAAAGAAAGTCCTATTCCAGTTTTTCAGTCTTCTTCTCAAAGAGGGGCTTAATTATTATTCATCCCACAATATTGACATGAACAGCATGAAAAACACTCTGACTTTGAAAACCTTGAAGGAAATATTTTAGATTCTTTGTGTAATTTGTATTAGCCCTTTGTTGTTCTTTCAGAGTGTCTAAAGTTCTCTATAGCATTGCAGAGTTGTTGCATATATGGTACAGCTTAGATACTACGCACTCTGAGTAGTGCTCAGCACCATGAAGATTCGTGACCCTTCGATGTCACATCACAGCTCTGCCGCTTATTGGCTGTGTGTCTTTGCTCAATCCTTTAGATATTTTTTATATTTAATTTTATTATTAGTCTGAACTTCTTGGTGCTATAACTTGTAGGTTTGTAAGAGATTAATATGAAAGTTTTGGGGACGTCTGGGTGGCTTAGTCGGTTGAGTGTCCGACTTTGGCTCAGGTCATGATCTCACGGTCTATGGGTTCGAGCCCCACGTGGGGCTGTGTGCTGACAGCTCAGAGCCTGGAGCCTGCTTCAGATTCTGTGTCTCCCTCTCTCTCTGCCCCTCCCCCGCTCATGCTCTGTCTCTCTGTCTCTCTCTGTCAAAAATAAATAAACATTAAAAAAAAAAAAAAGTTTTGCTGAATGCCAGATAGCAAAAATGAAGAAATAGAACCTGTTTGTCAAAATACTTGTAATAGCAGTTCTTTCCATAGTGAGTGCCTGAAGAAATTTTTTTTAATTAATTATAGTTATTTAAAACAAAGTAAAAGAAAACATGCTTGTTTTGAGGTTAGGTTTGTCATCGAATAGCAGATTTTATTCTTTTAAACACACCATCCTTGATCTGAATTTTTGTGGATTTTGCCAATGAAAATGGAGAAAGAGGTGAGTATTTGTTATATGCATTGAAATAGAATTCCATGTAGTAGGTGAGTTGTTGTTTTTATTTCAGATTGCTTTGGCCTTGAACAAAGTGGATGAACCCGATGTGGTAAGAAGGCCTTTAAAAATAGCTACCTTCCAAAAATTTGGTTTAGGTCATAACAAAGAAGGAAATGTAATTTAAGACATGTGTCTTTTTTATTGCTTTACAGTGTAAAAATACATGCTGATTGTAGATATTTTAATAAGTGAATAACTATCATTTTAAAATAGTATAAGTTTAGCTAGTAGAGCATTCCTTTCTCTTGACAATATTTGAATTTTGCGAAAGAGGGCAAACAATATCAGTGGCTGCTCAAATACTTAAGGTTAAGATCTCTGTTCCCAAGGGACATTTGATGGGGGGTGGGGGGAGAGGGAGAAAGGAAAGTTTTAGCAGTCATGGCTCTTTGCTTTTCCTCTATTAGTGTTTCTTAAATAAATTTACTTAGTGTTGCTTCTTATGATTAAACTAGCTCTGAATTTTGTTGGTTTGGTCTTTTGTCTTCCTTGTTCACTAATATTCTTTTAATGCTACGTCCTTCAACTTCCTCTGTAATTGTTTGGTGTACCAAAGGCTCTTAAAGATTCTGACCAAGTAGCACAGAGTGATGGGGAGGAGAGCCCTGCTGCTGAAGAGCAGCTCTTGGGAGAGGTACTTATTTTTTTCCTTTTTAATTACATTGGTAAAGTATGTTATATTTGTTTATCTCACATTGAAATATGGAAAATTTGCTTGACTACTTGTGCTAGAATGAAATTGGGAGATATTGTTTTCTTAGAGATTTTTGGGGTAGGAGTCTATTTACTAGTTTGACAGAACTGTCATCAGTGAAATCTTTAGTCCTCTGACCTAGCTTCTGGATTATATGTCTTAAAATTAACAGTTGACATGAGATTGACTTAATTCGGTCAGATGGATATCAGCATGTCACAATGAAAAGAGATGTTGCTCAGAAATCCACAATGCATTGCATGTAAAGTTTATGTTTTTTCTTGACACATTAATATTTAGGACCTATGATCAGTGAGAAACAAAGGCTTCTAGATTAGTCTTGAACTTTGAATCCAGGTATAGGAATTTTCACTAATTTGAACTGTCATGATTTTTTGATTGACATGATAAACGTGTCATGAGTTGTAGTTGACAATTTTTATAACCAGTTAAAAAGAGTCCTTGAACACAGAGTTGTATCATTAATTTTTTTCCTTTCGTTTTTCTGGGTTTTTTTTTTTTAACCACTACTAAATAATTCTGTACTTTTCTTGCTTTCTAATTATATTTCATCTTGGACAATTAATCAACACGTTCTTGTTTCTCATCTCATCTTTGACTTTTTCATTGTTCTTTGTGGTATAGAGATACCTTGACTGGAATGTCTCTTACAATCCTTTGCTAAGTTATAAGAGTAATTCATCAGTAAATTTAGACTTTTACAAGAAAATTGTTAAAAAAAACAACTTTCCTTAGAAGTAGATCTTCTGACATTTATTTAATCTGAAAATAAAGAATATGTGTAAAATCTTAGTAAAACTTTGAACCAATTTTGGGAATACCTATACAGAATTGTAGGATACCTTGAAGAAATGCACTTTCATTTATGTACAACTAGACTAACTATGTATTATCAAATAGAAGGCCATTTGGAAATACACTTATGAATGAACAGATCAGAATAATATGCACATAACAAAACGATAGTCACCAATGTGTACTTTCGGAGTATTCAAAAAAAGTTTGAGGAGATAGGATCATCTCCTTTACCTTGATGATGCTATTTGTTTATCAGACATAGTAGTTTACACATTGAAAATACTCAATATGTAATCAGCTGCTTTTTTCACCATTATTTACATTTCAGAAGTCAATAAATAGATTTTATTGTTTTCTTAGAAGGCAAATTTGAAAAATTGTGAGTTAAAAAAAGGGTTTTTTTGGAAGTTAGTGAATATAATCAGATCAGTATCTGATTTATTTATTAATAGGAATAATTTAAGCTCTAAAATGTTTTTGTTTTAAAGTTCTAAAATGCTTCCCTGTAATTAGGGAAAGAGTTAAGGTTTTAGCTATTCTTCTGTAATAGTATTAACTAATTAAGCATTGATGATGCTATGCTGTGCTCTGCACTAAAATTCCCCAATCCAGAAATGCCCCTGACTTTGAATACTAGGTGTTTACATTCAGATGTATAGGTAACACACACAGAAGATAGCTATTTTATCTCCTGCAAGACAGCTATCTTTTTCTTTAAATTTTTCTCTATGATTTCTTTAATATATTTTATTTTTGTCTTCTTGTGACTTTTTATGCATAGAAGAGAAAGCATTTAAACTATTTGCCAGCAATATGCCTTCATTATGTTTCTTTTCTTCTAAAGAAAGAAAATATACTGATAAGTAGTTTCAGAAATTTATAACAGAACTGTGTGTATCTTTTTACCAGACCAACCTGCTATGGCAGGTATGACTAATTTAAGAGAATACAAAGTCTATAATTGAATTTGAGTATATTCATACAGTCTTTTATATAGCATTTGTATAAGGGCACCAAGTGGTTTTTCTTTCATAACTGATTCAATTAAAACAAAAATACCTTATAACTAAACCTAATGGACAGAAGTTTTTAGACATAGAAAATTTTAGATGTGTAGAAGCAGAGTTGTTTTAACAGTCTAAATATGGTAAAATTAAAAACACATGTATTTTGCTTGTTTCAAACTCCTCTTATTTGAAGTAAAAACAAACATTCTTCAATAATTTCTGAGCTACCAGTAATGGATATGTACACTTATAGTTTGTTTAACATTATTCCTGATGACTTTGGATTTTATTTATGATTGTATAATGGGAGTTAATACTTAGGAAAGTCTTAGATCTGAGAACTTTTCTGGAATAACTGCTCATGTCATCTAGTCAGTAGGTGAATTATATATATATATAGTAAATATATAAATTTTGTTTTGCCAGTAAATTTCTCCACCGTTTCACTGTGGCTAAATTGCTGCCCTTTCCATCTTTTAGTGCATCAAAGAAGGAAAACAAGAATCTGAATTTCTACCACCAGCAGGAAGAACATTTAACATCTCCATCAGTGGTGGTAAGTACTTATTTCATTTTTATTTTTACCTATTTGAAAACAAATAGTCCCTAAATTTAAGTTACAAATGTTTTGTGACAAGTGGTAGAGGGTTGAAAAGAAGAACCCAGTTATTTAGTATATGTAATCAGGGGGCACCTGGGTGGCTCCATCGGTTAAGCATCTGACTTAGGCTCAGGTCATGATCTCGCGGTCCGTGAGTTCGAGCCCCACATCGAGCTCTGTGCTGGAGAGCCTGGAGCCTGTTTCAGATTCTGTGTCTCCCTCTCTCTCTGACTCTCCCCCGTTCATGCTCTGTCTCTCTCTGTCTCAAAAATAAATAAAAGTTAAAAAAAAAAAATTAGTATATGTAATCAGTCTCTTGGAGATAGATGTTCTGACATCAATGTAATAAAAACTGTAATGATCTCTATTATTCTAGTTTAAGCAATCTGAAAATGTGTTATTTTACCTGATTTTACTTACATGCATCTCAATATATTTCCATAGAAATTGATCCGCTAGTAATATTCAGAAATTAGCATTGTTTTCTCCTTTGTGTGTGCATGTAAAAGTTGATATGTATAAGATTTTTTCTTTTAACAAAACCTTTTATTAACTTGGGTGTATTTCCTTATTGCAGATATTGATGGTTTAATTACTCAGGCTTTGCTGACGGGTAACTTTGAGAGTGCTGTTGACCTTTGTTTACATGATAACCGCATGGCTGATGCCATTATATTGGCCATAGCAGGTGGACAAGAACTCTTGGCTCGAACCCAGAAAAAATACTTTGCAAAATCCCAAAGCAAAATTACCAGGGTATGTTGTTTTAAAAATAAACTATAACACTGTTCTGAGTATAAAAGCAATACATTCTTAGAATAGATAATTGATATGCAGAAAACAGTTAAAATAACAAAACAAAACAAAACAAACAAAACACTCATAGTTCCTTGAACCAGAAATGGTTATTATTGATAGTTTGGCGTTGTTATTTTTATTTTTTGTACTTTATGTATATAATTTTTTAATGAAAAGTACTTTTCATATTTTTATTGTAGAAAAGTTAGAACATAGAAAAATTTAAAGGTAAATATTTTAACTTTTAAATTCTAATTCTTCCATCAAATTGGAGTATTTAGGATGATTGGATAGTTATCCAATTGTATTTGTGGGACGAGGTGAGCCTAGGGTCTTCCTACTCTGCTGCCATCTTCCTCTTTCTCGACCTTGATGAAGTTAATTCTGACTTCATATCTCACATGTACTCAAAACATTTTTTCTGATCCATCAGAGCAGGTCATGCCTTCCTGTTAATGTTTTGATAATACCCTATACTTTTCCTTCTCAGCATATTTTTTTAAGTTTATTTATTTATTTTTAAGTAATCTCTACACCGAACGTGGGGTTTGAACTCACTACGCCAAGATCAAGAATCGCATGCTCCTCCAACTGAGTCAGCCTGGCACCCCTCCTTCTCAGCATATTTATATTACAAAAAATGTTTGTGTGATGGGGTTTGTTTGTTTGTTTTGTTTTGTTTTTTGAGGAAAAATAATAACCATCTTTTTTATGTCTGTTGGTTCAGGAATATTCTTCACTTTGTTGCTGCTTTATTCTGCATGAAATACTGTGAATAGTAGGTTTAAAAGATATGATTGATTAGCCAGAGGTAATTTTTACTAATATACCAGAGATTTTTAATTCTCCTTTATTTTCCTTTCTTAAGCTAATTACTGCAGTGGTGATGAAGAACTGGAAAGAAATTGTTGAGTCTTGTGACCTTAAAAATTGGAGAGAGGCTTTAGCTGCAGTATTGACTTATGCTAAACCAGATGAGTTTTCAGCCCTTTGTGGTAAGAAAATGAGCCTTACATTTATATAATGTATATGGCATCGTATATTTTATATAAAATTAGTAACATATTATTAGAAATGTTTGCAAACCAGCTAATCATAGATAAGAAAAAGAAGTTCCCATTTGGATACTTTTCTTAGAATTATTAACATTACTTCTCCATATCTAGTCATTACTTTTAATAATATTTCTTAACAGTTTTGGTTTCCAGCAGACTGGACCTAGAATCTTGCCTCTGCCACTTACTAGTTGTATGACCTCGGAAAAATCACTTTCTAAGCCTTAGTTAGTCTATTATATGTAAAATTACACATAATTAGCTTTCACTTAATAAATATTAACTTGATAAAATTAGTAATGATAACATTTGATTGGAAATTATAAATTACTGTTAAAGGCTGTGACTAGACTGGTGGCTAAGGAATGATACTCCTTACTTGTAAGAACAGAAGCTTCAGAGTGCTAGTATCAGAACAACCAACCATTTGCTACCTTGAAAGTATTATGAGAATATGAAAGTTATAAGATATTAACTTTATTATCATAAGTGATTTATCGTAGTCCTACCTACCATTGATGTTCATTTCAAATGTGCCATATTTCATCTATTTACACAAATATCTGACGTGTTGAAGTGGAGTTAAGTGTTCATTAGGATTTTTCTGTTCAAGTGTCCTTTCCATTTATTATTTTTTAATGTAATTCAGGGAAATTCATTCTGCAACTAGGTATAGAATCTTGAGAAGTCATTCCTTACATACAATTTGTCACGCACTTCCATTCATTTAATAAATAAATACTTACTGAGCATTTACATAACTGATTTTGTTTCTATCTGCTACTCATTGGTTGTGAAGTTTAATTCATACTTCTGAAAATATTATTGGCTTACTTACGACTTCATGTTCAGATTGTCTTGAGTATAGTCTTATTTTGTTTTCCTCTTGATCGGTAGATCTTTTGGGAGCCAGGCTTGAAAGTGAAGGTGATATCCTCCTGCAGACTCAGGCATGTCTCTGCTATATCTGTGCAGGGAATGTAGAGAAACTAGTTGCATGTTGGACTAAAGCTCAAGATGGAAGCAGTCCTTTGTCCCTTCAGGTTAGTATCTTTGAAACAAGGGGTGCTTACTTTCTAGTGTTGTCTTTCACCCTACTTCTATTCTAGAAATTGACTTGTTCCAGAAGTTCATTGCTTTCACCTTAGTTACCTATGTTTTAGAAGTTCTTTTGCTGGATAATTTATGTGTATTTGTAGCATATTTGGCGGGGCAAAGTATGAGATGATGGGATAGTAAAATGGGAGTTGCAACTGCTTGTGAAATCAAGGTTGTGATTTGGTAGTTTATTGGAAGAAGCAAGTGGCAAGAGCATGAAAACAGTCCTAGAGTGTACGTCTTTTCCCCCATGCTTCTCTCCCTGCCTCTGGTGACCCTATCTGCCTTGGGCAAGGAAAGAGGCAATGTGGGGTAAGGAATGGGAGACCTTCCCAGTACCAATAGAGAATCTTAATCGTCATGATTAAGGGAAAATGAAAGTAAGAGGTAAATGGAATCCTATGTAGCACTAAAACCTGGACAAGAGGGGGAGTAAAAAATATGGGGACTATTTTCAGGCATGGAGTAACTGTATACAGTATTTAGATTTTTTTTTTCTAAGCATTTAATCAGAGTCTCATAATATTTCATTCAGGTATTTCTTTTTCGCTCTGGAAAGAGATTTTCTCAGTACAGTTGTAATTTTAAAGATCACTTTATTAAAACTGAAAATCTGGTAGGAAATCACTGTTTTCCTAAGTGCTTTTGAAAGAAAGCACACTTGTTTCACACTTCTGGATCTGTGTACTTTTGAAGGGCCGATAGATAGGATATTCTTGTGCTTTATACTTGAGGCTTCCCATTGTTGAAATAATTGGTATTGAAGAGCAATGTGAAAAATTTGGGGTTGAAATAGTAAGCTCATTGGAGGTCACCTCTTAGTAGTAGTGTTTTTATAGTATAGGTAGTATGATGTTTTCAGTCAGTTTCTTTTATACCTGCTGGAACCCAGTTTCTGCCTTTGGACATTTATCTGCTGATCACTTTCACTTTGGATGCTTGCCTACTTTAAGCTCACAAGACAAGTATCTGGCAGTTTAAGGATATTTAGGAGAAGGAAATAACCTATGCCCTAACCATGATAAGGTACTTTCTTCCTCCTTACTTTTTCAGTTTACGTGAATGGTGGACAGCTGTTGCAGAAGTTTTTAAGAGAGAGGATAATAAGATATACTTTTAGGAGGTTTTAGAAATCTTAGTATCTCTTCATTCCTGCTCTCTTGCATACACATCTTGGTAATTTTGTTTGCTTGCCCTTCTCTCTCCCTTCTTTTCCTCACTTAGGATCTTATTGAGAAAGTTGTCATCCTGCGAAAAGCTGTACAACTCACCCAAGCCATGGACACCAATACTGTAGGAGTTCTTTTGGCTGAGAAGATGAGTCAGTATGCTAATTTGTTGGCAGCCCAAGGCAGTATTGCTGCAGCCTTGGCTTTTCTTCCCGAAAACACCAACCAGGTAATTAGAATTGACCATTTCTCTTCTTTTAATGTGTGAATAAGGTGAGTCCAGTGGGTAGCACGTAGTGTTAAGCATAAGAATATTGGTAAGTAGAATGTTTTGGAACAATTGAATTTCTGTCATCTGACCATAAGTGAATGTTACTGACAATTATTCAAGGATCATTTTAAGTGTACCCAGACGGTATTGGAGAGATAGGATGCTCTTGTAGTACAATAGATCCCTTTGTACTGATGGGCATAGTATTTGAGGGAAAAAATGGAAAAGGACCAACTTCTAATTTCTTGAGCCAAATGCTGAATCTTTGTACATGGTTCTTTGTAGGAATCTTCTGTGTTAGAAAGCTATGAATATTAATACTTAAATAATTGGGGTTGTAGTTTTAAAATTCCCACAAATGCTAGACATAGACATAGATATTAGTGAAGAAGTTCATTCTGTATACCATTTCAGTCTGATACTGTCTGCAGACAAGTATATTTTTAAAATACTCAAGGCAGGGAGAGTGACATTTCTGATTTATTATTTGGTATGCATTAAATTGGGCTTTTTCAATGCAATGGAATTAAGTAAGTGACTGACAGTATAATGATGGACACGATTGCCAAGATTCTTTTCCTAAGGGAGTTTTCCAAAAGTGATACATAACTATGATAGAGGTAGTAGTGCAGTGGAATCACAGAAGAGGACAACCTAAATTTAATAATGAAGCATGGGTAGAAATCAGGGAAAGGTTTGAGGACAGTTATCCACAAGTAGGATGTTTGTATCTATATTGTGTGTGTGACAGAACTTAATTTTGAGCCTTGAAGATATTTTCTTGTTTCTATGCTTTTTATTATAAACTTTATTTTGTTTTTGATGGATTTTTTTAGTTAATTGTTTTCAGTATTTTGTCTCTTGTAGGGAAATATCAATATATTTCATTGAGTGGTTTCATTGAGTAAAAACACTTAAGTCTATGTTCCAGCATTATGGAGGTTTGACTCTAGTTGGTTTTGAAACACATTTACATGTTGTATCTTTCGATTTTATCTGTGAGAATATTAGGTAGAATAGAAACAGACTTTATGATGACCTTGGCATAATTATTTTATGACTTTTTAAACACCCCTTTAATAGTGAGTTATAAGACCCTTTAAGACTAACTTAACCTAAGACCTTTAGATCTTGTAGCCTCAGTATTAAACTCTTTATTTTCAATACCATTTATAACCACATACATTTTTTTTTCTTTTTTTTAAAGTTTATTTATTTTGCGAGAGAGTATCTGCATGCACACAAGCAGGAGAATGGCAGAAAGAGAGTGAGAGAGAAAATCCCAAGCAGGCTCGGCACTGTCAGTGTAGAGCCCGACGCGAGGCTTGAACTCACAAACTGTGAGATCATGACCTGAGCCGAAGTCAGATGATTAACCGACTGAGCTGACCAGGCACCCCTAACCACATACATTTTCTGTATATTATTCTTCATGTTTCCTTTGGACTTTTAAAGAACATTCTCTATGTAAAAGTAAACAATTTTGAAGTTGCTGTCTTCTATATATTTCAGTAGACCCTTAGTATTTTCTGGGGAACATGTCCTGAGACTTTGTGATATCATTATAGTATCTAACCTTCCTCCCTAATAGTATACCTAACAGTTTAAATGACAGCTTTAAACCTTTAGTGAATTTATAGTAATGTATGACTTTTTTTTTTTTTCAACGTTTATTTATTTTTGGGACAGAGAGAGACAGAGCATGAACGGGGGAGGGGCAGAGAGAGAGGGAGACACAGAATCGGAAACAGGCTCCAGGCTCTGAGCCATCAGCCCAGAGCCTGACGCGGGGCTCGAACTCACGGACCGCGAGATCGTGACCTGGCTGAAGTCGGACGCTTAACCGACTGCGCCACCCAGACGCCCCTGTATGACTTTTTAAAGTTACTAAAATCAGTTCTTGCTGAAATATTTTAACATTACCTTTTTGTTGTTGTTTGTTAATATCTGGAACATGTATGTGGTCAACTCATACTTATTGTAGATCTGTATAATTGTAGATCTGTGTAAGCTATCATGAGTGTGACATCTTACTCTTTTATTTCCAACATCTCTCTCTCTCTCTCTCTTTTTTTTTTTTTATTAATTTTCCTTCCTTTCTTAGGTCACCATTTTCTTTCATCACATCGTCAGCAGTTGATTCTTTTGGGGACCTTTTTTCCCTATAAAGAAATGAAGTTATATTTTTTTTTAACTACTTTTGTGATTTGTGAAAATTACTCAACTATAAGAAAATACAAAAGAGCAGAGATGATGAGTGGCATTGATCTTACATACTACTGTGTGGTGGGCATAATTCAAATCCTTGCCTCAGTTAAATGATATATCATGGGCCTTTGGTATCAGTCTTGAGTATTAGAAGCCATGATGTTAAACCCTCTTGTGCTAGGATCTATTATATAGGAAACAGCATATGAACAAGGAGCATATGACTGATCAAGCTTACTTTAAGAAAAGCAACATGCTGTCATATAGTTCAGTGAGTTCTAACATTCTGCTTTATTTTCTTCCATTGCTTGTTATAGCCAAATATTGTGCAGCTTCGTGACAGACTTTGTAGAGCACAAGGACAGCCTGTACCAGGACAGGAATCATCTAAAATTCCTTATGAGAGGCAGCAGCTGCCTAAAGGCAGGCCTGGACCAATGGCTGGCCACACACAGATGTCAAGAGTTCCAGCTCAACAATATTATCCCCATGTGAGTGATATGGTCCAGATTAAGTAGGAACATTTATATATTTCTGTTCAAAAATTTGTTGGGTAAGAGACCTTAATCTGCTATGATAAGTCTAGTTGTCTAGTTAGACAACATAATGTTTTAATAGTTTTTCTTTTTGTATTCTTGAAAGTGATGGTCTGTTCTTTTTATTTTTATTTTTATTTTTTTTTAAGTTATTTATTTATTTTTTTAAGTAATCTCTGCACCAAACGTGGGTGGGGCTCAAACTCACGACTCCAAGATCTAGAGTCACATGCTCTTTCCATTGAGCCAGCCAGGTGCCCCTGGTCTGCTTTTTTTTTTTTAATTATCACTTTAATCTGGTCAAACAGATTATATTTTAGATATAAATTAATTTAAGCTCTCTGGGGAGATTTTTTTATTTCCCCATCATTCGAACTACCCATACACATGTACATCTGTTCTTGAAACTGCTTCAACTTGATTCATCTGACAAGCTGTAAGTAAAGTAGTGGGAATAATTTGTGGGTGATTTGGTTAATACTATGAAATATTTTTAGAAAAGGTACTCTTATTTTGAGTATTTTATTCTGAATCATTATTACAGGTTTACTGTGTCTCTTGTATCAACACAGTATTCAGAACATACTTTTTTTGGATAACTTGGATATTAGTGAATGACCAAAGGTGTATGAAATTGTAGGTCATGGGGATCATAAAGATGATTAGATATTTTTAAATAAGTAAGTAAGTAAATTAAAACATTTAGTGGCATAAAATGTGGCATTTTACTGTCTTTTACTACTTCATACAGAAACTTTTATTTCCAGACCCACAGATAACCTTCATGTTCTTGAATGAAAAGTACATTTTCATAAGTAATAAATGGTCTTGATTGATAACAAAGTTAGCAGATCCTCTCCCCATTTTAAAATATATCAGATTACTGATAGAATTGACAAGGTCTTTTTTATAATTTGTTGCAACAAAAGTAAATATAAAATCATGGAAAGCTAAAAAAAAGATCAATTAGTGCTCTTTTGTCTATTGCACTTTTGATTAATACTTAATCAGGAATAGATCACATTTGGATTTAACTGTAACTATCTAGAGTATTCTCTGTTTTTTTATTTTTTTCCTTTATTTCATAATTTATTGAGAGCTTTTCTATGAGTGCCTGTCTTTATTCTGTCTGTTGATACATTGGTAAACAAAGCAGATTAAATTTCCCACTATTATGAAGACTTTACTAGTTTGAGAAAAGTCTATGACATAGGTAGGGCAAAGCAGGCAGTGACTGGAAGAACTAAGAGGCACAGACATCAAGTGACAAGCCAGAGTTTTAAGACAGAGCTTGAATTTCTTAATATCGCCTGGCCAACTTGATATTAGAACTCCCAAGCATCTTTTGTTCAATCATGCTATCTTGAAGGGTACTGAGGTGAGACACCCTCTACTTTGGGAAAAGAGAATATTTACTCTCTATGTTCTTGAGTTTATCTGTCTTTCTGGGAAGATATAAAAACACTGAAAGACTTTCATTGTACTTTGACTTAGCAGTCTAATACTTTAACAAAAGAAAAACAAATTCAGAAACTAAGCAGTGATTTTTTTTCTTTTTTTTTTGTTTTTTTTTGTTTATTTTGAGAGAGAGAGAGAGTATGTGTGCACACGGGAGCAGGGAAGGGGCAAAAAGAGAGAGGGAGAGAGAGAGAATCCTAAGCCATGCCCAGTGCAGAGCCCAACATGGGGCTTGATCTTACAACTGTGAGATCATGACCTGAGCTAAAATCAAGAGTTAGACGCTTAACTCACTGAGCCACCCAGACACCCCAAGTACTGATTTTCTTGATTAAAGCTTATCATGTACCAAATGAGGACAGCAGCTTGTGGTTTTAAAGGAATGTTTACAGGAAGGGGTAAAAGGGTGAGAGGCAGGCCAGATTAGTAGGAGTTCCACTTCCACTTGGAATTTCTATGAAGATTTACTTGACCAGAAAGATTTTGGTGGCTTAAAAAATTTGTTTTGAAAATCTTAGAACTCCAGGGTAAGCAACATGGTATAGTATAGCAAACACTGGCCTGGAAATCAGGAGGTCTGGATTCAGTCCTAGGTCTGTCACCAGCTAGTTGTATTGACCTTAGGAAGCCCCTTCATTTCTCTAGGTGTTGGTTTTCTCAGTGGTCATGGGTGGGGATTAGACTGATTGATCTCTAATATCCTTTGATTGTATGTTTCTAAGCCTGATATGGGACTAATACGATTTTTGCAGCTCTAATAAAATCCAGAAAAGGGAACTTGTAGCAATATGCTTACAGATCTAATAGTAGCATGAATACTATTAATGCTTCAAAATCACTTTTCTACTCGATTATCTTTTTTCCTCCAGTATCTTCTTTCTTTACCTACTTACAGGAACTAGCTTTTCCCCTTATTCTTGACACTTGAATGCTACTTTTTTTTATGCTTTGATTTAGGTTTTCATGTTGATTTTTCTACTGCCTCCCTCTCCCTGTTTTGTTGTGAATGTGTTTTTCTTTTGGAATCCCAGCTACCTTGAAAGCAGTTGCCTGACTAACATATGCTATCTTGCTTCTCTTATTTTTTGCTTTGCATCTGGCTGTTAATGCCTTCTGGGTGTTTTTTTTTTCTTCTTTTAACATTTTTATTTTTTATTTTCTGTGATTGGTATTTCTTTGTTCAATTCAGGTTAGAATTGCCCCTACTGTCACTACCTGGAGTAACAAAACTCCTACCGCCCTTCCCAGCCATCCACCTGCAGCCTCTCCCTCTGACACACAGGTATATCCTTCATTATTCATCTTTGAGCAGAATTCTGCTCACTTAAATATATATATATAGTTAAATATTCTCTACTCCCCTTTTCTTAATTTCCCCTTCCCCCATTTGTCCGCCTGCTTATTGCATTTTAATGCTTTAGGATGCAAGAAGTTTCTGGACAATTAGTTTATTTTCTTCTCCCTCTCCTTTTGCAGTTCTAAATTGACCTCAGCTAGAAAAATATCAACTAAAGTTCTAACAATGGTTTAAATCTGATTTCACTGAAGATTTTCTTTTTTCTTTCTTCTTTGTTTTTGAGCATTGCAGAAATTGAAGAGAAACGAAAGTTCCCTTGTGGCATTTATACTTATATTTCCAAAGTGTGGATGGAATTTAGTAGAGATGGAAAATCCTGGTGACTTATTATAAATATCATTGACACTGTTTTGTGAAGTTATTAGCATCTGTTGCCATTTATTGCAATTAATACTTTAGACCTGTCTGATCTTTAAATCACTTAGAATGTGTTGCTCAGAAAATGTGTTCTAAGGAAGACAGAATGTGCAAAATGCAGTGTTTCTTACACAGTAAAGTTAAAAAAAAAAATAAACAGTTCCGTTTCAAAGATTATAAATCCATCTGGTAAGATTTTTGGTTCCAAATGTAATCCTCCTTTTTATCATATTCTCATTTCCTAGGGAGAAAATCCTCCACCTCCAGGTTTCATAATGCACGGAAATGTTAATCCAAATGCGACCACAGCTCAGCTTCCCACATCTCCAGGTCACATGCACACCCAGGTACCACCTTATCCACAGCCACAGCGTAAGTAGTGTGACCCTGAAGTCCTTGCACAACAGCATGTCTTACCTAATGTAGTAACATTTTGCTTTAAAGCTCCAAACTCATGATCAAATCAGTTTTAACAAGTAAAGAAAGAACTGTGTAGGACTTGAGAGGGAGAAACACAGTTTCCCTAGGTGACATCCCTAGTTAGCATGCTTGGAAACAGCCTCCTATGTCAGTCCATTCAGAACAGTTGGCTCCTGTTCCTGAGCAATTACTAAGAACAGTGAATTGTCCCATGATTTTGGTATTAAAAAACAGAATTTTTGAAATGATTTTGTTATATATTCTTTCCTTTCAGCAAGATGACACAAACCATTTTTGGAAAAATGGTTCCAAGGGACATTTCAATATCCAATATCTCCCCTGCCCCCATGTACAACCTGCTTGACTATCAACAGCCTGTACCCCAGTAGAACATTTGCTATAGTAGTGAATCTGCATTGACACATCATTATCGCCCAAAGTCCATAGTTTACTTTAGTGTTCTCTCTTGTGTTGAACATTCTATGAATTTCGACAAATGTATGGTAATAACATGTGCCCACCATTGGCTTTTGTTTTTTAGAAAATATTTGCACTTATAAAGTAAAATATCACCACTATTTTAAAATTTACATGAAGAGAAAAAAAAATCTCCAAGGAGAAAATTATATGATTAAACAACTATTACAAAAGCAAGAGGCCACTGCCTAGTAAGAACTAATCTTAATAAGCACGTTCTATGCTAAAGTGGATATTCTTACTTAACATGAATACAGATTTGACACAATTTTTCACTCATGAAAATGCTGTCTTCAGAGTAGAACAAGTATAGTTCTAGTAGATTCACTCTGTAGAGGTCCATACCTACCCCTGGTCATGAAAAATGTGGTAATATTCTCTAATCTGGGCTCAGGTCTTTGCATCAAAACATTAGTTGGCTGCCTGAATGCTTACTAACCAACTGTGTATAGTATATGAAATACTATGTAGTAATTGTTTTGTCAGGGATCTTAGAGAGTTGGCTGTTAATCTGGAACTAAGCTCAAAATCACAGTGTGAGTAGCTGATTAGTTTACTAGATGTTGGAGAAGGTATTTGATTCATAACAATAGTGCTCACCCTACAATTCTTCCGGTGGAGGAGATGTTGAGCCGCCAGCAAAGTCCCTGTAATTTACTGTAACGGGGAGTGCTTGGGTCGTGTAATTCCTGCATGGTTCCATCTGGTGGCTAGTCAGTGTCACTGCAGTCTTTTCTCAGGCACAGGAAGTCTGAGAAAAGGGTCGGTCTTTCAGTGTTTGGGTTTGATGATTGAAAGATTTTCATAGCCAGAAGCAGTCTGGAGATGGCATATTTCACATATTGATCCAATGGGTATATTTTAGTATATTTAAGGGTATCCAAGTCATCAAAAGCATAACATATAAGGGTTAATATTTGGTTGTAGCTTATTGTTCTAATAATAATGACAAAAATAATTTCCATAGAATGAGATAACTGGTTTTTTGTTGCTGTCAATAAACTTATAACTAATTAAAATTTCTGTTTCTTCTCCTTGGTGTAGCTTATCAACCAGCCCAGCAGTATTCCTTCGGAACAGGGGGGTCAACAATGTATCGACCTCAGCAGCCCGTTGCTCCTTCTGCTTCAAACGCTTACCCTAACACCCCTTACATATCTTCTGCTTCTTCCTATTCTGGGCAGTCTCAGCTGTACGCAACACAGCCCCAGGCCTCTCCACCTACCTCCAGCTCTGCTGCTTCTTTCCCTCCTCCCCCTTCCTCTGGAGCATCCTTCCAGCATGGCGGACCAGGAGCTCCACCATCATCTTCAGCTTATGCACTGCCTCCTGGAACAACAGGTACACTGCCTGCTGCCAGTGAGCTGCCTGCGTCGCAAAGAACAGGTCTGCGCTTGAAAGGGATTTGGTTTGGCTCCCTCCTTTATTTTTTCATGAACACGTGGGTGGATGGAGGGGAATTATGTCTGACTCTTTGTAAACTGAGTAATCTGAGGTGTTGAGTTTTTATCACAAATTCTGAAACTATTTCTAAAAGTGTGATCATCCCATAATGAACTTTAGTTGCTAAATGAGGAAAACTTTAGAGCTTCAAAAGGGTAAGAGTATATAATCTGCCACTAAACTTAAAATAAGTGGTAAGAAATTAATTGGCAAGATAAGTGGTGTTTGGAACTAGGTTTAATTGACACTAATTTCTTTAGAGCCAAACTTGGCTCTGTTCTTATTGAGAAGTTTAGCGTTTTTAAAATTATTTGTGCCTTAAGCCCATTCATGGAGATTAAACATGGTGATTGTATATAATTTTATAGTTATGTTTATTTATAAAGATGAGGGATCTGGATATGCTTATCTAAAGGAAAAGAGTGAGAGAACACAACTCTGACGGAGGATCTCTAATGAGACAGCAGAAAAGTACAAAGTCTGTGGACAGTAGTGCAGCGATTCTTCATTAGGGCAGCACCACCCTCAGATAGTTTAGGAATTTCAAGGATTCGATAGATAGTCTAACAGTGTAGTCATGCCTGAAGTTTTCTAATGAAAACCATAATCTTAAATTATTATTATAATGAGATACACGTTTTCTAAATTCTTATCTCATTTTATAATTAGAGCATTACATTAATTTTTTATGGGGAGGTTTTATTATCTGGTTTTCATTTTGGCCCCTACCAAAAGGGGCCTCAAAGGCATGTGTTATAAAAAGGGATCGATGAATCAGGGTTAGGGACCACTAACCATACTGGTTAAGAATGCAGGCTTTGGAATTCAATCTCCTGGGTTTGTACCCCAGCTTTGGTTAAGTTACTTAAACTTCTTCAAGCCTCCATTTCCTCAGAATAATATTAATACCTGCTCATAAGCTCATGAAGAAGATTGAATGCATTAATACATTAAAGCATTTGGGGATAGTGACTGTAAAGTTGGCTGTGATTACACAAAACCTGACTCAAAATTAGAGCTCTGTGCCTTTTAGTATTTGAAAATAGTTTCCCTTTTAGATTACAACCGATGTTTTTGAACTAAAGGAACAAAGAGATGAATGAATCTTGCTTTGCTCCTAATACTTTAGTTGCTTCTGGGGCGTCCAGTATGTATGTGTGTGTGTGTGTATATATATATATATATTTTAAGCAGTAGCTATAATTACTGAAAACAATTATAAAATAGGATCTATTGAAGAAATATTCTATTCTAACAAAGTCTCATGAATGCAGAATTATATACCTATCACCTTTCTTCTCTGATATATAAAGGCCAGAGTACCAAAAATCTCACACATACATGCGTGCAGATGTGTGCGTGCGCGCGCACACACACACACACACACACACACACAAATATCTCTATCACCCTTTACTGCACAAATAAAATTTCTGTAACTTTCAATATAAATAGTTCAGTAGATTGATATTTTAGAGAGGAGTGCTAATTCAGTTGTAGAGTTCAAAAATTACCTTCTGAAACCTCAATAGTGAAGATAGTATCTATTCTGAATAGTTGGGTAATAGAGTTCTTGACTGAAAGATGAGTTCCAGAAAATTCCCACTTTAAAGTGGTGCAGGGAAATAGAGAGGTGAGTCATCATTTACTGAACATACACTGGACATGTACCATCATTTGCCATATATTTTCTTATTTAATTATCAGAGCCATGAGAAATAGAAATGTTTTTTTTAGTTGACATGAGGAAACTTGGTTTCCTAGGAGTTAAACTCATGGTTGCATGATGATAGTCTCCAAGTTGAGATACAAACCCAGGTCTCTCAGTCTATAAAGCCTAATAAGTTCATTCTTCTTTACCAGATGGTCTAGTCCTGATATAAGTCATAGAAGCAGTTATCAATGTTAGAATTACAAAAATCCTATAACAACACTGTTTTAGGTATTTTGTTACTTCATCATCTAAGTTAAATATTTGCATGGGTATTCTTAAGCAAAAGTGTATTTGGCCTTGAGATAAAGTCTTTGCTTATATACAAAGTAACAGAATGTTCTAACCTGGCTGAGAAACAGAGTGACTAATAGGAAGAAGAAGCAAACATTTTTCAGTATTCAGCATGTTCTAAGCCAGCTGCTTTGTTACCTCTTGCCTGTTAATAGTCCCCTGTATTTTACCATATTTTATTTTTTGATTTCCTAAAAATGTTGTTTACAGTGTACAAATAATTGTGAATGAAAATTTTCTCTTCTTTTTTATGGGTCTCATATCATATGGTTCTCTATCGGACTTGGGAATTCCATTTGTCCAGTGGATAATTTTGACAGACACTAGGGTTTGCAAGACCTGTAACTGTTCGTGAGCCTCCAAATTATGCCTGAGGCTCAGAGAAACTAATGTTGCAAATACCAGAACATTCATTGAGTTAATTCTTAATGGGTACTTGTTTGGTCTATAATCAGAATTATTCCAGGCACAGGTAGGGAGACAGAAGTGAACAGTACATTTCTAGTGAACATCACATAGCTTTGCTGTAAGTTGGAACATAACATTTATATTTGGCCCAAATTTTGGAAAGCTTTATGCCAGGGCAAGAAGTTGATAGTTCATACAGTAGGCAGGAAAGTTCACGAAGGAGTTTGAACTGCTGAAAGGCATGGTTTTACTCTCTAGGGTAATTAGGATACTGTCTATGACTTTTTCCCCGTCCTGATTTAATCTGTGCTTACTATTACTAAAGGAGAGCACTTTCATATATGAAGGCCTTAGAATTTTACTCAAAAAATTATTTTCTGATAAAATGACCTTCAGGCTGTCATGAAACTGTCTTTGAGTAAACATTATTGATTTTATTAAACCATGGAAAATTTAATTTAGGTATATAGTCTCATACTTTGTCACATAGAAGTCTTGAAGGGGCATAATGTTACATATTTTCATAGAACAGTGTTCTGAAAATTTTTTTTTAATTTTCGTAAATATTCCTTACTCAAATTATAAGTACCTGTTTTATCTTGTGTCATTGGAAAATGACCTCAAGGATTCATGTCTTTCTAAACTTTAATTTTTAATTTCATGACCCTCTTGTTTTTAATGTGACATGCTAGGCTTATAGGGGAAATGGGAGGTTAAGAAGGATGCTCTGTTCTTTCTCAAATTGTCTGTTAGCCAAAATTCTTCATATCACTGCACTAATAAAGAATCCACTGAAAAGTATCTTGGCCAGTGCATATAGCACATTTTGCTTCTGCTGGAATACCTAAGAACGTTCCGAGTGAGAAGTGGGATTCAAGTAAAGGTGGTACTCAGCTGCACTCCTGTATATGTGGGACCATGTGGTTCCTTCTTCCTTCCCCAAAGATACTGGAGAACTAAACCTTACACTAAAGTGGATAAGGATCTCCAGTAACATGCCATATTCAATTTTTAAATTAATTTTCCCTTGATTTTTATTAATTTTTCACTGTAGGATTTTTAAAGACTCAAAATATTATAAAGAATAAAATTTAAATGATCTATAATTCTACCGCCCAAATATTACCAGTGATAATATAGGTTTATTTATTGTTTTCATACACATATATACATATATCTATGTATGTCTATATGCATCTATTAAAAATATTTTTAATGTGGTAAATATACTAACATAAAATTTACCATTTTAACCATTTTTATGTGTATAGTTCAGTGACATTAAGTACGTTTACATTGCTGAAGAACCATTGCCACTTATCTGTCTCCAGAAGTTTTCATCATCCCACACTGAAACTATGTACTCATTAAATAACTCCTTGTTTCCCCCAGCCCCAGGTAACCACTGTTCTACTCTCTCTCTGTATTTGACTACTCTAGGTACCTCATATAAGTGGAATCATACAATATTTGTCCTGTTTTGACTGGCTTATTTCACGCTCTCCAATATTCATTTATCAGAATTTCTTTACTACTTAAGGCTGAATAATTTCACTGTATTATATTGCACATTTTGTTTTTCCATTTATCTGCATGTGGGCATTTGAACTATTGTGAATAATGCTCTTTGAACACAGGTATACACATATCTGTTCAAGTCTTTGCTTCCAGTTCTTTAGGATATATACCCAGAAATGGAATTGCTGGATCAAATTCAATATTCAGTATTTAAATTTTTGAGGAAGCATTATACTGTTTTCCACATCTACACCACACTTGTTTTCTGTTTGTTTGGTTTTTTTCTTTCTTAATTCTAGCCATTCTAATGGGTAGTATCTCATTGTGTGCATGTATCTTTTTTTTTTTTTTTAACATTTATTTATTGTTGAGAGAGTGTGAGCAGGAAAGGGGCAGAGAGAGGGAGAGACACAGTATCTGAAGCAAGTTCCAGGCTCTGGGATGTCAGCACAGAGCCTGATGTGGGGCTCGAACTCATGAACTGTGAGATCATAACCTGAGCTGAAGTCAGGTGCTTAACCGACTCAGCCACCCAGGTGCCCCTATTTTTAAAGAATTGAGATCATAATACACATATATACACACACAATTTTACATCTTACATTTTTTCTTAATATTACACCATGAGCCATATTTTTCATGCCTTTAAAGTCATGTCATGTTTTAAAAAGAGAGATTTATCTTCATTTTATAGTTTTTTGAAGAGTAAAAAAGATTCTCTTTATAGTTTTATGGGAGAATTATGTCTAAGATTAGATTATGCTGTATTGATATATTTTCAATGACTGTTCTATGTTGATTTTTTAAAAATGTTGACCAAGAGTAACATTTTGCATATCTATAATGAACCTCCGTAATGCTGTTTCCTAGAGATACTTATTTTGTTCATGTAGTTTGCTTTACCTAAGGTTGCTATTAAGGCGTATTTACAGAGGTCAGTTTAGCTGTGTTTTTAAAAAGTCATATTTAAACAGTCAATTTAAAGACATGAAAGTGAAAAAATTCAAAAGCGAATTATAGCTGAGACAAAACTGCATTAAATTGATAAGAGATTTGAACAAGGATTATCTGGGCCAAAATAAAAATGGCTAAGTATATTGCATGGTTGGACATTGGGAGGAGTCAGTTAGGCATATATTTGGGGGAGAACTTTGATTATTGTACAATTGTTCCTTTCTATTCAACAAGACATTCTCCACCCTCAAGTTATGTGAGCTACCCCACTGGCTGTGTACTCCTGCTGCAAGTCTTTTTGTTTCTAATTTGGATTGTCATTCCTAATTTTGAATTTGATTTGATTTCATCATAAATTTGGAGTCATTTTACAAAAGGGTTGTATGAAGTTGCTCCACAAACTTTTTGTGCTTACAGTTTTTGAAATTTCCGGATACCCTCCCAGGCTTTAATACCCAGGGCTTAAGTCACTGCTATGAGAGATTAGAGGGAAAACTGCAAGCTATGGGGTTACCTCTCCACCTCACAATTTCTCTGAGGCATGTGCCTCTTGAGTAGAACTCAAACCGAATTGAACTCATTAATTGCTATATTCTCTTGGTTCTTCTATCCCCAAAAGAAGATAGTTCAATTTTCGTAAGTTACATATGCATATAATATACCTCCACTGCATACTTTTGATTTGAGGCTGGGCCTGGCCTGACCCTGAATATCTGATAATAATATAATAATATCTGATAATTTTGGCATTGCTGTGTTAGTTTTCACCCTTTTCTTTTCATGTCCACTGCCAGAAACTTCAGTTCCCTTAAGAGATGTAGTTGTTTCTGAAAGACCTGTGCTCAACAGTCTACAAATCCATATATTCTTACAGAAAAAACCATATTGGATGGTTACATATTTATTGGGCCTGTTCTCATTTATGTTTCTATTCATGGTGTGACATGAATTACATGAAATTACAGTTTCATCAGGGTGCAGCCCCCTGTTGCCTCCTAAATCTAGCAGTAAAGTGGCACCACCTTGCTAAAGCCTCCCATTTTTCTTTAAGTCCCCACTAAAAGAGTGCTTTGGCCAGCAGCATTGGCATTACCTGGGAGCTAGCTGGAACAATAGAATCTCAGGCCTTTCCTTGTACTTAGTGTGAATTAGAATCTGCAGTTTAACAAGATCGATCTCTCAGCTGATTTTGATTCACAGCTTTAAATAGTACCAAATGCTCTCCCCCCACACACAGTGATATTACTGATCAAGTAGTAGAAAAAAATTCCATGCAAACAGGGAAATATTTCAAGTAGGCAGGAAAATTTTTTTCTTAAAAGACACATGTAGCGCAGGAAGAGAAAAAAAGTAATGTTTGAGAGTTAATTGGATCTGGCACAACCTAGATGAATTCAATTTACCCAAAAGCTGATTACTTTCTTAATTAGATAAAAGACATTTCACATGACTTGACTAAAAAGTTTCTTTCCTTTATAAAATTAGTTTTTTCTTTTTTGGCTTGATGGAGGGAGAAGAAGCAATTACAAAATGAGTTTAGAATGTTTTTCATGATAATACTGTTTAAGTGACTTTTACATTTTGTCTGCAGAAAATCAGTCTATGCAAGACCAGACACCTATGTTGGAAGGTGAATTAGTTATAAAATATACCTCTGGAAATTTTTCAATCATTTAATATAGTTAATGAATGGACATTCACAATAATGCATGCGAACCTCAAAGTTGATGATGTTCGGAATGTGATCAGTATCATTTTTTAATTTGGGTTCTTAATCAAATCAAATCTTAGAGTTGATTGAATTAACATGGTGACACCAGTAGCTTTAAATCATTAAAGTCGTCTATTTTATATAATCATAAAGACCATGACCATATCAAGATTGTCTTAGCTATGAGTAAGATTAGAAGGTGATGAGAGAGATTTGAATGATTCTCTGTGCAAGCCCAGAACTTTAAGAATTTGTTAAGCAGATAGCAGCATGTAGTTTAATGTTTTGTAATTAGCTCTTCAATGTTTTGAGGCTCTTTTGGAATTCTGTTTCCTGGTAAACTTGTAGAAAATTAATTCCATTTTTAGAATCAAGGCAAATGAGGGATGCCTGTCCGGCTGGTTCAGGGGTCGTGAGTTTGAGCCACACATTGGGTAAAACAAATTTTAAAAATAAATAAACTTTTTAAAAAATCAAGGGAAATGAGTACATGCTGGTTAGAAGATCTTATTTTTTAAAAAGTTTCTATGACATTATGTATGGATCACAGGTTCTTTTGTGTAAGCAATTTTGTTGTGATTTCATATCATGGATATCAGTAGAATAAGTAAAAGGTAAAATACTGAAAGAATGTTTAATTTGTTAAAAGAGGAGTAATTTTTGGTCTTTAAATATACAACATACACAAAATTCAATGAAATGTAAAATGATTATATTTTGATTTTGAAATTATCTTTATTTCTGGCACGTTTTCTTTAAACATACTGGCATTAAGATACTTAATGAATTCTGCTACTGATGTCTGTTTTTCACTTTGAGATGAAGATTTGGGGGCAGGGGGTGCGTGTAGAGGAAATTTACTAACGTTGACAGTAGTTTAATTTTATATTTGCTGCCAATCTGGAGTTTTTTTTTTGTGGCATTAAAAAAAATCTTATCACAGATACCTGAATGCTTTTTTATACTTTATAAGTAACTCTTAAGGGAAGGATGATGAAATTGCTGGTGTTGTGTAATTGGGACCCGGTTTTTTTTTGTTTTTGACACTGTTTCTACCATGTGGATAGTTTGCTTATGTTCAATTGCTTATATTAAATTACTCTCTTGGGAAGTAGGAGATTGTTACTTTTATTTTATTTTTTAGTATGCTGAATACATCAAGGATTTTGTTTTTTTAGCAGATTCAGGTGATTTATTTTTTCTTTATTACAAGAGAATTCTTAACTGATTTGAAAGTTATACACCAATATAGACATAAACACTTCACCATCCCTAAATTTAGTACAGCTCTTTCACTTTCAATGGAAATAATGTCAAGTTATCTTGCCTCCTAAGCCAAGACCTTGTGAATATTTGAGGGAATGAGTTTGTGAATCCAGGGCTACAGAGTGATCCCCACACCTGAGCTGGTAAAACCTTTGTGATGGTTATCCTCAGGTTAGTTAAGGCAGAATTTGAAGGTACTATGCGATGGATACAATTTAGTTGTCCTCTTTTCAGAATTCTAAAGGAAAATGCTCTTTATTATCTGTTATAGGTCCTCAGAATGGTTGGAATGATCCTCCAGCTTTGAACAGAGTACCCAAGAAGAAGAAGGTACCAGAAAAAGATGTCCATCCAGTTGCCTACAGATGTTCTTTAATCATGTAGCCACCTGGAACATACTACCTTTCACTGATCCTTTTGAAGACAAAGCTTACTGACTGATAGGTTTAAAGTGCATTTCAGCTTGCATCTTCTCCATGAAGGGAAGGAAAGAAAGTTAAAAACAGTACAGTGGTGTGAATTTAACTTCCTTTAGAAGAGAAGATGTAGGGGCGCCTGGGTGGCTCAGTCATTTAAACGTCTGACCTCGGCTCAGGTCATGATCTCGCAGTTTGTGAATTCAAGCCCCATGTCAGGCTCTGCGCTGACAGCTCGGAGCACCTGCTTCAGATTCTGTGTCTCCCTCTCTCTCTGCCCCTCCCCTGTTCGTGCTCTCTCTCTCTCGGTCTTTCTCTTTCAAAAATATATAAGTAAACATTAAAAAGAAGAAGATAAGATGTAAATTTCTAACAGGTTTCTTTCAAAGAATAGGAAACAAATTTTCCAGTGATTTTTATGTCTTTTAGGAGTTCCAACAGTAGTCAGGAATTTGGTAATTATATTTTGGACTATTTTTGTTTATCACATATAGTATGAATGAAGAAATCACCTTGTAGCTGAGCGTTGTTTAAATGTCAGTAACTGTTGACAGCCATTAAAGCAGAAGTTAAGATTCTTCTTTCTCCCCAAACATTTCTACTTTTTTTTTTTTTTTTT